CACCACACCCCGTGAATTCCAGTTGCTGAAAACCTAGAGTTCTGGTTCAGTAGCAGGAGTTAGGGTTTGGTTGTCAAGAAATGTAATATTGAAGGGAAACACCAATCTTACTCGAGGCATGGCATCTTCATCTTAATAACAGAATTAAGTCTGACAGAGTGCCAGGCTCACTGAGTCACCCCTTTGGTTAAGGTTCCAGAAGCCCGGCCCCAGATCACCCTGAAGAGCAGCACTGGTTTAATATGACAGTCACCAGCACTCCTGGTGCGTGAGCACTGTGCTGTGGCCTGCCTGAACCAAGATGAGGTGCAAGGAAGACAAATGCATTTGGAATTTGATAGGTTGGTTTGAAAAGAAATATCAAATATCTACATTTTCAAATATTTAATGCATATTGAAATACTGCTCTGGATGGATAGATGTGTACTAGTGTAAGTAAATTCTTTCTGGGTTAAGTAAATTAGCCGTATCACCTTCATCTCCATTCCTTCCTTGGAGGAAGGGAGAGAGAAATAGCTCCCATTCTTTGGTCCACTCCCTGAATCCCAGCAATGCCTGGGACCAAGCCATGTCAAGGTCAGGTGTCAGGAACACTAAACAGGTTTCCCACATGAGTGATGGGGCTCAACTCCTTGAGTCATCATCACTGCCCGAGTCTACACTGGCAGCTAGCTGGACTCTGGAATGAGAGCCAGACATCAGATTTCCTCACTGACGTGGGATGAGCTAAACACCTGTTGCTCACTGACTGTACCAGGCCTGTGGGGTGCTCAGTCTGTGGGGAAACTCCCCTGTGCTCACACTCCCTGTGCTCAGCCCTGTCCCAGCTGCCCTGACCTGAAGCAAAGGCAGCAGCAGGTGCTGTGGACTAAACAGCATCTGCATGCGCCAAGCCTTGCCCTACTTCTGCAGTGCCAGCAACAAGACCGTGCCCCAGACGAACTGCAACGTTCTCTCCTACAGATTCGAAAGACTCCAGAGAAACAATACTGACATTCCCAGGTCCTCTCCCAAGGAAAGTCACTCCGATTCCCAGCCATCGAGAGAAGGGATTCTCAAAGCCCTCCTGGTTATGCCACTAGAATTCAACACATGACACAATTTAGCAAGAGCCACTGCAGTTTCCTGTTCACCAGTGACTTTGTCATTACGAGAAATCCGAAAAACTCCCCAGCCCGCTGCACTGTGGGAGTTCTCAGGGAACACTGTGGAACAGACACCAGCGCCCTGACGCTCCAGCAGGGACCCAAGTGCCCATCAGTACATGAGTGGATAAACACAAGGTGGTATCTATGCACAGAAGACTGCCATGCAGCCATAAAAGACACAGATATAGTAACACTTCCCTTGATGAAGTATGCAGAGTACCCAAAGTCACAGACCTGAGATGGGGAATGGCACTGCCAGGACAGAGAGGGTGGTGACAAGTTACTGCTTAGTAGGTACAGTTGACATCTGCAATGATGACAGGTTTGGGAAACAGAGTTACAAGCACCCAGGACTCAAACGGACACTCCAATACGGGACTTAATCTGCCGTGTCACAGCACCAATCGCTATTGTTACTTCTGAAAATTGCACCAGCATTCCATATGGGCACCAGTTCGTACTCCAGCTGCTCCACTTCCCATCCAGTCCCATTTGTGACCTGGGAAAGCAGAAGATGGCTCAAAACCTTGGGACCCTGTGCCCACGTGGGAGACCTGGAAGAAGCTCCTGGCATTTAGCTGGGGGTTGGCGCAGCTCTGGCCATTACGGCCACTTTGGGTATAAACCAGGGACAGAAGATCCTTCTCTCTGTCTCTCCTTCTCTAAATAATGACTTTCCAATAAATAAATAAGCTTTAAGACAGCAACTAGAAAACAAGCAAATAAAGTCTGCTCAATTAAAAAAAAAAAAAAGATGCAGCACCAGTGTCCTGTACGCTGTGGGTTAAAGTCCTGGCTGATCCAGTTCTGATTAAGTTCTCTGATAATGCCTCTGGGTAAGTAGTGGAAGATGGCCAAACCTCTGGGCCCCTCCACCCACATGGGAGGCCTAGAAGATGGTCCTGGCTTTTGACCAGCCCAGCTCAGCCCACTGTAGCCACTTGAGAAGTGAACCAGCAAATGGAAGATCTCATTCTCTGTTTCAATAAAAAAGCAAATCTTTAAAAAACTTGCACATAAAATGTTTACTGCAGTCCTCGCCTTGTGTGCACTGGGATCCCATATAGGTGCTGGTTCTAATCCTAGCAGCCCTGCTTCCTCCCTTCTTGTGACCTAGGAAGGTGGTCAAGGACAGCCCAAAGCCTGTCTCTGCTTCTTCCTGTATATCTGACTTTCAAATAAAAAATAAGTGTTTTAAAAAATGTTTATAGCAGGGCCCGGCGGCGTGGCCTAGCAGCTAAAGTCCTCACCTTGAATGTGCCGGGATCCCATATGGGTGCTGGTTCTAATCCCGGTGGCTCCACCTCCCATCCAGCTCCCTGCTTGTGGCCTGGGAAAGCAGTCCAGGACGGCCCAAAGCTTTGGGACCCATGTGGAAGACCCAGAAGGGGTTCCTGGCTCCCGGCTTTGGATCAGCACAGCACCAGACGTTGCGGCTCACTTGGGGAGTGAATCATCGGACAGAAGATCTTCCTCTCTGTCTCTCCTCCTCTCTGTATATCTGACTTTGTAATAAAAAAATAAATAAATCTTCAAATAAGTAAATACAATGATTAATTCAGTTTAAAAATATTTATAGCAGCATTATTTGTACAAACTTAAAAATGGAAATGAACCCAAATCAACAGATGAATGCATAAGTTAAATGTTATCTGTTGACAAAAAGGAGTTAAATGTCAACATATGCTGCAATGTTGAGGGGCTTTGAAAACGTGTTTAGGGAAAGGCACACACTCCATTTAGATGGAGTGCCCAGAACAGGTTTCCTTACAGAGAATGTATGAGTGGCTGGCTGCCTAGGGCTGAGGGGCAGGGCTGCTCTGAAGGGTCGGAGTTCCAAATGCTCTGCAATTAGACGGATGGTTGACAGCCCTGCGAATGTTCTGGATGCCACTTCTAAGTGGTGGATTCTATGGCTACGCAAATGAGCTCAATAAAACTGTCTTACAGTAAAAGGAAAAAAAACTTAAGGAAAAACTCCCAGAAAGTGTAACAAGAAGATACACAGGCAAGAAAAGACAAAAGAGAGAAATCAAGCCAGCAGGTCAGGACTCTAGCTGATAGACATTTCAAAGAAAAAAAAAAAAAAAGAAAATGAATTATTGTAAAAAACTGATATGAGACTAGTTATTACAAATGAAAGCTTAAGTAGTCTCCAGAGAAATATTTTCAAACACAAGCATTCCATGGTCACATGACTGAGAAACTTCACAGGAAACAGTGAAGCTCCGGAAACTTCCAGGGCTAATACAGACAGTGGACTGAAGCGAATGGCATCCAGCTTCCTGGAGGAGTGGGGGCTCAGCACAGTGGTGCTTTTCAGACCCTGAGGGAAACTAACTACAACTTTATACTGTGTTGTTTATGCCTGTTTTAGTCATACAAACACATATATAACTTATACTTAATTATTCTTAATTTGTTTCCAGCCAAACAATGTGAAACAGTATAAACTGTCTCTGCAAATGATGTGCTCCAGTACTCTGAGGACCCCAAATCCAGGAAGCTGATGGTCATGCGGCCTAAAAAGCTAGATGGCCACACAGGGATGAAAGGGGAAGGCTTGGTCCAGCAGCAAGGCAGCAGCTCCTAGGGCAACCTGGCCAGACCTGAGAGTGCAGAAGGGACATGAGAAAAACACACAACCTAGAGATTGTCTAGTAAATTTGTACAATTGGAAAAGAACATTGATGAGGGCTGGAAGATTAAGCAGAAAAATGCAGATTTCACAAATAGTAAATATAAAGTGAGGCAACCATTCATTTTAGAAAAAAAAACCCAAATGTATGTAAAAAGAAAACAGATGAAGTGCTATAATAATTCTTACATACTCAAATAGTCAATAGAAGCACTGGTTGTTATTTAAGCTACTCAGAGCTGATGGGGCACCGCTGCAGGGCAGGGCGGGACTCTGTCAGAGCCTTCAGTGTTCTCTGATCCTTGCCTTGGTTGTCTTTTAAATTTATTTTGTCAAGTTATTGGGCACACGCCTCACAGCAGCTGCCTCACATGAAAGCTGGGAAGCAGCCTAGAGGACAGTGAGGCAGCGACTCTGCCAGGTCCTCTGAACCATCAAAGGGCTCTGTGCGTGGGGCCCACCCTATCGGGGGGTCAGGCCCCCTTGGGTCTTCCTGAATCTTCTGTAGGGGAGAATTAACTGGCAACTCCAGCTCTGGCTGCACGGGTCAGTGAGGGTGCCAACCTGGAACTTTCTGGGAAGCCCACCTCCAAGCCTGCCACTCTCGCCGAACACCTGTGTGTCTGGCTCCCTACGTAGTTCTAGCTCTTTCATGGGACTTTCTGCCAACAGGCATGGCATAGACAGAAACTAGATGAAAACACAGATGACTTCTGTCTCACTTCATGGTCCAGTTAGATGCCCAGAGCTGACCACACAGTACTCAGAAGCTGCTGGAGGAAGATGATGGTACCAACTCTGCACACTTAGCTCTCTGTCAGGCCCTTGGCATACAGTGCCACATGCAGTCTTCACAACAGGCTTTTCAGAGGACTACTCCAGTCTACAGACCAGGAAGGTCAAGCTCAGGGAAACTTGACCTAGGTCATTTCATGGCTAAGGGATAAGCTGGGATTCAAACCCAAGTGTGGCTGGCCGGTGCAGCCTGTACAAGTAGCTGCTGTTGTCACTAATCCTTTCTGGAAAGAGGTCTGGCTAGGTAGCTGCACAAATGCACAAAAGGAGGACTCCAAGAACCTGGTGAATTTACTAGACTGGCCCAAGAAGGGAGCCCCTGAGACGTTCCTCTCAGTAGCTCAGAGCCTGGATGCAGACAGAGAACTAGCTGTGTCCCCCTCGACCCCTTACCCAGAGGCCCACCTCGCAACACCCACCTTCTTCAGAGAGGTTGTTCTCTTTGGTCTCCTTGTCCATCTGGCAGCACCAGCCTTCCAGGCGCTCTGTTTCTGCCTGAAGCAGCTTCAAGAACCAGTAGCCATCCCGGCGGCAGGCCCCTGGCTGGGCTGGCTCTGCTGGCGAGCTGGAGGAGGTCTCCAGCCAGGGGTCTGGTGGGGGCAGCGAAGACGCTTCCAGGGCAGGGTCACTGTTGTCTCCATAGGAGAGGTTGCGCTTGATCTGGGCAATCTTGGGGGCCTGCCGGGGGCCAGCATCAATACTGACGGAGTTGGGGTGCGGGGTACAGTCCGGGAGGCTCTTCTCTGATGACTTACAGCTCGAGTCATTGGCATCCTGGGTGTCTGAGTCAGTGTCCCGTCGGGAGGACATACTGTGAGAGGGGGCGCTGCTTCTGTGGGGGAGGATGCATGGGTTGGGGACAGGAAGGAACGAGTCAGCAGGAGGACCAGAGGCCAGAGGCCACCCCAGCCCGGACACACGGGAGACAGAGAAACGGATGCATCATCTGCTCCCCATGCGCCTGAAGCGGGTCCCACAGCCCCATCTCATTCTCAGCTCAGCCCTTGCCCCGTCCCACCCACACCCACACGCACACACACACAAGGACAAGGTCATAAGGTTGCCTGTTTACTGCAGTGGGGCCAGGAAGACCACCAACATCAGGGTAGCTGGGGCCTCATCCCAGCCCAGCCCAGCCCTGGCCCCGCGGCTCACTGGTCTCACAGAGCAAGTGCTCACTTGTCCTCCCGCCTGCCCCCCACCCAGCCTCCCAAGCCTGGGCCACCGCCCACACCTCAAACCCAGCTTAGGGATTAGAAATCCAGCAAGAAAGGAGAAGTGGGTTAAAGGAGAGGAGAGGTGAGAGCAAAGGGAGGAAGGGGAAGGAGAAGCAGCGGCCACCTCTTCCGACTTACCGCCAGTCGTCCTCTACCTGAACCCCGATGGACTGGAATTTGGTAGCGGGACTGGGCTCCTCTTTTGGCACTGGCTGAATGCAGTCAACCTTATTGGAGGACAACGACAGCAACGGCACGGAGACAAAGACAAAAATAAAAAACAAACACACACTTGCTGCTGAAATTCACATTAGTGGAACGACGCAAACAGACGTGTGGACAGACAGACACGAGGCATGCGGACACTGCACATGGGCCCGAGGCCGCAGCAGGTTAAGCCGGGCACTGCTCATTCGCGCGAGGAGGCGGGAGGTGGGTGGGGATGACTGGCTTTCCCTACTCGGAGGAGGGTGCCATCACATCGATCGCTTTGTGTCCGTTGTCCTCCGAGAGGTGGGAACCGTTCCTTCTAGTTCTCTCCTTTACATACATCAGAGGGAAGAAAAAAGGACGACGAAAGAGAAAGAAAACACACACACACAAAGCCACAGCCGTTATCTGGTGTAATGGAAGCTGGGGGCTGTCTTAAGGCAAAGACCACTCCCCAACCCTGAGGCTGAAGCCTGGAAGGGCAGGCTGGAGGCGCCCAGACCAAGGGCAAAATTTGGCAGCAGTTCTGGAGAGCAGCTTGTAAAGCAAGAGCCAGCTGAGTCCCTGGACACTGGGGAGGCCCTCATGGGGCCTAGTGCCTTGGCTGACACTCCCTCTACACACCTGTGAAGAAGACACAGCCACAGGGATGCTCTGGGCTTGCCCTGCTGTTCTGGGACAAAGGGGCTGGCTGTGGAGTGGGCAGGCCTGCCTTTCCTTCATGGCTCAAGAATGAAAAAAACCCACAACTGACCCTGGGCTCAAGGCACTGAGGAGCAAGATGACACCTTGAAAACTGGAGGCGGGGGGTCACTCCAGCCTTCAGGCCTCGCCAACAGAGGCAAGGGCCTGATTTGCAGCGCCACTGCACCCCCAAGAACATGTAGAACAGGGAGGTGATCCAAGGGCAGGGGCGCCTACATGGGCTCACTCCTCAGTGTTGTTTACCAGTGAAAGGCACCAGGGTGCTCCTGTTTCTCACACCTTCCGGGGAGGCAGGGACACTGGGCCAATGAAAGGCCAGGGTTACCCAAGGATGTGGGCGTCAGAGACCAGGCTTCTCGCTGTGGACCTGTGGAGCTGGATTGGCTCTACAGCATCCTCTGAGAAGAACACAGGAATCTCCTCTTCCACAGAAATGTGGAACTGAAGCCCAGTGCTGCCTCTCCAGGGAAACAAATCCAGGCAAGTGGGAGAATGTCGCGGGGAGCTGCTCACTCAGTCCCCGTCCTCTCTGCATCTCAGCTTCCTTCTGCACTCCAGCTTTGTCACAAGCTTGGCTGGGGAAATGGAGATCTCTGCCAGGCTGAGCCACAAAGTATACCACTTTGATGTACCCCTGGGTTTGGGGAGCTCTGTCTGCTTCCACCCCTCCCCCACTCCTCAAGCATGCTCCCCTTTAGTCTGAAGGTCCAGCCAGAACAGGAGAGTCCTCTGTTTAGACTCAGTACAACTTGTGAACATTCCCAGGTAGGAGCCAAATTTCCCCAGCTCAACTGGAAGATGACAGAGCACCATGTGGCGTGCATGTAGGTGGTTCCGCAAGGCAGTGGGTGGGGAATGGGGAGCTCGTAACCACTGTGCTGTGAGCTATGTCTGCACAGTGAGTTTAGTTTCTGGAAGGGCCTGCTGGCTTTGGCCACTTGGCCCTGGGAAACCACCTGCCTGGATCCTTTCCAGGGATGGAGACCCTGGGATTGGTATCATAAGGGCCTGGAGCCTCAAGCCCCACCTACCTGTCTCCATGGCCAGAGAAGGCTCTGGGTAAAATTCCCCATGAGCAACCCCTGTGGTTCAAGGGCCCTGGGTCTGCAGCCCATGGGCCATCTGCATTTACACTCCATGCAGCTCCCACTGCCAAGCGGGGCTATGGCCGCCACACCGTGCTGACCTTGGATTAGAGAACTGTTAGGCCCATCCCACCTCCCATGGCTGGCTGGTAGGGCAGAGAGTGGAGTGGACAGACAGACAGTGGACAGGCAAACAGTGGACAGATGGCTGGCTGAGTGTAACTACATTCACTGGGACAACCCGCTGGAGGTCAGGAACATGACCCCAAGGCTGCAGGCTGCAGCACAGGGCGAGGGGAACACGAGGAAGATGTGGTAGAATTTGGTTCAGCCACTTGAGGCTGGTCCCCCCAAAATAGACAGACAAACCACCTTTTCCCAGGAGACCTAGTGGGCCTCACCAGATGTAATTACACGCAGGCAGGTGCACGGAGTGGACTGAGGACACAGAGTGCAAAAGGAGCCCCTACTTGTATTCCTATCGATGACAGTTTCCGTTTGGGGATGGCCTCAGGGTGGGCCTCAGAACTGGTCAGCGTCCCTTGTTCACCACTCTTCAGAGCTGCATGTTTTAGGGGTGGCTCTGGGGCCTCAGGGGCTGAGGTGACTCCACCCCGCGTCACGCTGGGCGGTCGAGTACTGCTGTCCAGGCTGTCCGAGGAATTGCTCAGGCCCGACTGGCTTGTCACCTCACTTTTGTGGTCCTGGCTGTCCAGATAGGTGTCCTGGGCGGACTCGGTGCTGCTCTGGACTGTGACGGAGATGAAGGGCTTTGATGTGGTACGTGGAGGGACAGGTGGCGGGGTCTTCTTATACGCCACTAGGCATGATGAACCTGCACACAGGTGACAGAAGGGCAAAAGCCGGTGAGAAACTGAAGCTTCCAACCCTGTGTATCCTCTGCCGAGACTGAGGTCCTGCCCACCCTAGCCCTGTCTCTGGCCCGTGCTCTGCCTCGGTGAGGAGGTCCTGCCCACCCCAGCCCTGGCTCTGGCCCCTGCTCTGTTTCAGTGAGGATTTCCAGAGCAGGAGGAGGAGGGGGAGACACAGCAATGAGCAAGCCACACACAGAGTTTCTGCCATCCTCACCAGAGGCCAGGTTTGCTGGAGGATGCCAGCACTAACCAAAGATGCCCACCACCTGATGGGCAAAGATGTTCCCAGCCAGAGCATGGGCTACACAGCAAGGTGTAGCAAAGGCAGACAGCTAAGACATGGCTAACTTTGCCTTCCTCAAGGTCACTGAGAGGCCTACTGCTCTCCCTACCCTTTTCCTTCCCCATCCCTTTGTCTCCAGTACTCAGACACCCCAGCCAGCTATCCTGCACCCCTGATCTGCCATTCCCATCCCCCTATTCCTCCTCCTGGGAAACAAGGGAAATGTAAATTAGACAGGTGCAGGTGCCAGCTGACTCCACACTACAACTCTCCAAGATGTGACCACTGAGGAGTAAAAGCATCCCTTTGTATTCTTTTGTTACAACTGCATGTGAATTCAGTTACCTAAAAACTTCATCCCTTGTCCCTCAAGGATTGGTGTGGGGCATCCCACCACTATGATGGTGAAAATCTAGCTCTGAATTCCTTTTACCCACTTGCCTGAAATTCTATACTACCCGAGTATCACTCCTTTGATGTGAAGGGTCCCGAAGCCGGGGACAGCATGAACCAGCAAGCCTGAGTTCAAATCCCAGTTGTGCAGCCCCTGGCTCCTTGTAAAAAGAGAGTGATCACAGAGGCTACATCACAGAAATTAAACCCCAGCTAGCTAAGAACTGGGCCATGCTTTTACCGCTCCTCAGCTGCTGGAAGGGACATAAGGCTGGCACTTAGCGAGCTGGTGGCACTTTCCCTCGGGACTAGATGCTTAGAGAAGTGCTGAAGCCCAAGGCCACCAACCCCTCGGAAGATGACACCTGGCCTGTGGAGAGTTCAGGAATGCATCTGTCTGGTCTAAAGGTTGCCAAGGGCAGGGTTTCAGTGGGCTCTTTCACCCTAGATCAGATCAGGAAGCTGCCCCAACTTGGCTTAAGGAGGTAGTAGCGAGGTAAAGGAGGCAGAATGGGGCTTGAGCTGCTAAGGCTGTGGGAGCCCTTGCTCTGTCTGCAGGATGGAGCTGATCCAGCTATTAGAAGTTCGTGTGCACAAATTTTACTGGGACCTGGTAGGGAAGAGGAACTCTTCTCTGGAAAGCCAGATGGGCTGCCCTGACAGAGTCCAGAAAGCCTGAGCCCTGGCAGAGGCAGCACCGGATCACGGGAAAAGTAGCTAATGAGAGGCCAGGCCAGATGTGCTAAGAGGAAAGGGAACTTATCTGTGGCTCTCTTGTCTCTCCAGGGGCGCAGGTTACAGCCAGATAAGTGGTATGACTAGCTGGGAGGATCGGGGGCCCAGGGGCCCTCTGGGGGGCAGGGAGTAGAAGCCAGGCCTTATACAGGACAGTCTTACTTCCTGAGTGTGAATGCAGGCCTTAAGGTCAGCAACTCATTTCAGCCATGCCTTGTACCCTGTGACTTTTATATCCTTGTGGTTCTTTCTGTCTCAGCCCCTCACTTTCTAACACCACCTCCTCCAAGAGGCCTCCCTGAGGTTCTCCTCTTTTCCCACCATCCAGGAATCTCCATCCAAACACCATCCCATCTGTGCTCAGCGCCTCTGAGGGCCGAAGCAGCCAGGGGAGCGCTGCCTGTCCTATTACTGGCATGGCAGTCTCTCAATCAATGTTTCTTGAATGAGAAAATGAACCCCATTACAGCAACCAAATAACTTTAGGTGTTAAAAACCATGGAGGAAGACTCCCAACATTTAGTGCACAGGTTCCAGGCACCCTCCCCAATTCAAAGCCCCCTTCTGCTTGGTCCCTGTCCTCCCATTTCTTCAGCTTCACCCCGGCCCTCCACCCCACCCCCACAGTACCCCTTCCAACCCAGACACCAGACACACCAGGCCTTCATGCAGCAGGCACTTGCACGCACAGGCACCATGGCTTTTCCTCCCAGGCCAAGCAGAGCCATCCCTTTCTCTCCCTACACGTCCACCAGAGCGCATAGGACTGCAGTGCCATCCCCAAGGTATGTGACTGAGTCCAGTGATTCAACTTCAGGGGGAGTGCACCAGATACCCATGGTGGACCCAGCCCTGCCCTCTCCAGGATGTGAATGACAACCACCAATTTACAGGGCATGAAGGTTCAATCTGTCCACTCAGACAGGGGTGTGGACGGGCTGGGCAAGTAGGGGCTGAGTGAGCACAGACAATGTGACTGCCTCCCCCTGCAGTTGGTTCTTGTGTATCTCAGGGATCCCAAGCACAGGCAGCATTTACTAAGCCACCTGTGCCTATGGGCTGCCCGCTTGCCTGCCTCTGAGACAACCAGGCAGGTGCCTGGCATGGAAGTGCAGGCAGGAGCCAGATGTATGACACAGCCTTTGTGCAGCCTGCTCCCTGGCGCCAGATGCCCAGCCCAGCTTGTCCTCCCTGTCCCTCAGAGCTCAGGCCCTGGTTTCTCCCCAACAGAAGTTCCTTTTGCTCACTGCTTCAAGATTCTTTCCGTGAGGGGCCAGCAAACTGTACCTACCAGGTCAAAACAACGTAGTGGTCACATTTTCTGTTTCATGCTAGGGTGTATATGGTGGCCAGAAAGCCTCAGATACTCATCAATGGCATGGCTCCCACTCCCAGGGGGTCTGGGAGGCCAGGTTGGGCTTTCCCTGGTGGCCTGAGTTGGAGCTCATACCTGTTGGGCTCCAGGAGCCTGAGCTTGGCAGGAAAATACAGGAAAAGGGGTCTGGCCTCCTGCAGAGGAACAATGCCAAGAACTACTGACAGCATGGTGGCCACAGCTGCAGGTTTTACAGAGGTACACAGCGCTGACCTCACAGGACCAGATGCCCTAAATCCCTCTTGTGGCTTTGGCAAGACAGGAAAAGCCCTGTTGGAGGAGGGGCTGCGGGCTGTAGAATCCCATTTCCTCTTCCACTCAGGGAGTAACCTGTGGAACTGTGCAGCTAAATCCAACAGCTCACTTGTGTTACAATAAAAACAGAACACAAAGGCTCTCATCCGCCCAACCCCAAAGCCTTCTTTCTTCTCCCTACACAGGGAAGCTAGGAGCGGCTTCTAAGCAGTAGCTCAGGGACTGTTCCCATCAGCCCCACACCCCCAAGCCTTTCTAGGGAGCCTCTGCCATTCCTCCCTACTTCCTCTCCCTTCCTACCCTGGACCACCCAGCCTGCGGCCTCCTGGCCTTCCAATCCTCTATCTAGTCCTTCCTTCCCCTTCTCCCCTGGCCATTTGAGGAAGCCAGCCATGGTACTGCTTTGTGTAAAACCTTTCCATGGTGCCCAGACTGGAAACCAACTCATCAGTGAGAGCATTCAGGGCTTCCACAATCACCACCTGCTGCAGACCCCAAAGCACACAAAAACCACGCTGGTAGAGAGGTGTCCCACCAGTGAAGACAAGGATGCAAAGCCCAGGGGACTGGCCCTGCCCTCACAGCCTGTCCCACAGCCAGGAAGGACTTCTGTTTGTAATAATATCGATTCAATGCTAACAGCTGACCTACTGGGGCACTGACCAGACTCTCATATGACTGACCTTTTTATCCTCCTTGTTTGTAAGTCAACCTACTCACTCTGTCTACTTGTAACTGCAACCTCTCTATGTAAGGGGCTCTTGCAGTCGTTGCAGATGTGCAGGCCCAAGCTACACTCACAGCTGACATGCAGGAAGCTGAAGGCTCTGCCTTCTTGTTCAGCTGTGCTGCCATAAACAAGCACTGTTTCCATGGCCCACTGACTGCCGCCCTTTCCCCATTTGCGGCATTTTGTTCAATGACCCTGAGGACAGCTAGTGTTCTAAGTACAGGCAGGCTGCGATGTGTCTTCTGGGACAAGCACATATGTTAGGCTCCATTCCAGCCTGAGTCATGATGCTTTAGCCACAAGGTCAATGTTAATGAATCAATAAAATATGAAGAGTCTTTAAACAGAATGAACATAAAACAAGGCTGCATATCGATCGGTGGTGGAAATGTGATCTTCTGGAAGAGCAGCACTGCAGTGTATTCCACAGTCTTGGGAACAATGCATACCAACATTAGCTGCCGGCATAGGCAGAGCCCATATGGAAGAGGTGAGGCCTGTCATGGCCCCATTCCCAAGAGGCAGAAGGGACTGTTTTTGCTCCCTGCCTGGCAGGGCACTGTGGGAGCCCCAGCTTTCTGAGGACTGAACTGCTCCACTTGCCCTGGGCACATGAGGTACTTGTGATGTGGGTGAGCCGAGCCATTCCTTAGCTTCTAGGTAAAGGAGACAGCGACTTCTGCTAGGGAGACGTCTAGGACTTTACTAGAGGATGTGGGGGTTGACTAGGTCATTGAGTGACAAGGAACTGCAGGGCCTTCTGAGGAAGGGATCCTCTTGGGGGCGGGGATGGGGCAGGTCAGGCCAGGGCACACCTGAATGGCGTTATGCGTAGAGGGAGAACAGGGTGTGAGGCAAGGAGAGCCACAGGGGCCATCCCCTCCCGACAGGATCCTCAGGCTTCCTGGCACTGCCTGGATGATGGGAAGATGCACCATGTTTCTGCCTGCAGCATCCCTCATTGAGTCCTGTGGTCAGGCCAGCCTGATCATAGGGTTATCAGCCCCAGCAATCAGAGCAGTTCAGCAGGAAAAGCCAACACCACATTCAGAATGAAGAGGAACCCTCCCTCACTGCTGCCAACCTCACTCTCCCAGGAAGTGGACTCTGCGTGCTTGGGCATGCTTCAGTGTCCAGGGCATCCCATCCACTGAGAAAGCCCGTCTCCACACCTGCGACAAGCTGGGCT